AACTAGATGGACCTGATTAAAATTTTAGTGAAATTATAAGGACTTAATAAAAAGAAAAATAAATGCGAGGACCTAATTAAAAATAAATGAAAGTATAAGGACTTGATAAAAAGAAAAAAAACTATAAGAACTTAATTCAAAATTGATTGAAACTATAAAGACTTGCGGATTAATTAACCCAAAAATTAATACCTTTTTTATAAATAATAATAATAATAATAATAATAATAATAATAATAATAATAATAATAATAATAATTTTTTAATCTGCCTATCTTAACCCATCCAATAGAGAGACCTACCCACACACCCAACACAACACACATAGTCCTCGTAACTACACGAGGATAGATCCCATAACCTCCTTAATAAGAAAGGTTATGGGTTGCCAATAGAATCAATGCTATTTAGCAAATAATTAATTTAATTATTTTTTTAATTTTTGCAAATTACTGCCTCCGGTCTTTAATATAATATTAGTTAACTAATTTGAGTAGATTAAAAAAATTAGTTATGCTAGTTATTTTTAATAAATATGTGTTTTTTCTAAAATACCCTTGCTAATAAAATGTATTAGCTAAAATCACTATTTGATGAAATCTTTAACATGTACAACTATTACAAAGACTATTCTAAGAAAAAAAAGAAATAAATATGAAAATAAAGTAAATTGAGGTTTTATATTTAGAATAAAATTAAAAATCAAAATAGCTGTTATATTAAGAAGCTGAGACAGTAATTAGCTAGCTACCATATTTAGGATAGAATGGGACACTGAATAAGACTTCTCTTTGTTTAAAACAAAGAGAGAGAAAAAAATTCATGTTACCAAGAAAATTTGAAGTGGATACAATTACAGCCAACAATCCCCCAGCTGGTTTTACTTGACTTGTATTCATATTGAAGCAAAGTCCATCTCATTCTAGCTGTATCTCCATAGTGCCCAGCTACTTTCCAGTACATTATACTTGTTCTCATTGCTTGACTCAAAGGACACATTCATATACTTACCTGTTTGATTCTAAATCTATGAATATCTAGTCAAATTTGGATATACTTTATGATACTCTTTTGATTCTCTAGTTCAAACATGACAAGTGTCTAGATTTTCAACAATATATAACGTAATTAGTGTAAATGTGACTGACTTTGCAAACAATCGTAGTTTTAAAATTACTTCACATGTTTGTTAACATATTATTTATGAGTAACTATCCTTCTGTATGTTCATATTTTAATTCTAATCTGACAAATTGATAATGAAGATGTAAAGAATTGATTTTTAAGTCTTTTTGTAACATGTTCTCATTGTGTTATTTAAATTCAGGAATTGATTTGTGTGATTGAACATATTATTTATGAGTCACCCCCCAAATTCTCAATTATAATAAAAAATATTTATTGAATAAAAGAAAGGTGAACCCCAATAAGATTCAGTTCATGACTTTTCTTTTCTTTTCTTTTTATTTGAATGATTCAGATAAAATTTAAATGCTTCACATTTAATAGTTTATAAAAGTATTGTTAAAATGTTAAAACCTAATATGAGTAAGTGAAGGAAAAAGTACCTGGTAGCATATATAAGGATGTGATGTATAGCAAACTATTCCATAATTATTTTTTACTTATATTATATCCTTATGACATTATTATCATTTTAAAAAAAGGTTATCCTCTTGTGGTTGATTAATATTACTACTATTCAAACTCTGATTTAATTACATGATAAGTAGGTCCTATTTTTATTATATTATCACTAATTTTCTCCATGTTTCACTCTAATAATTTTGTCAATTAAACCCAGGAAGGGATTTGGATCACATGAATAGATCTTGAACCCAAATGGTCTGTGGATTTGTTTTATAGCATATGAAGGGAACTAGGAACAAGAAATGCATAACTTAGCGGATCTATGTTAATAAACATAATTTTTTTTCAACAAAAAAAATGAAAAAATATATATATATGGGAAAACTGGGGGAAAAGTCCCCATTGAAAATTTTGGTGATGAGAATCACATAAAATTTTTTTTACATACAAAAAGTATTGATGCTTTGTAAATTTTATACATATAAATTTGTGAAATATCAATACTCTGATTTAGATCATTTCGACTAATAAAATTTTTAATTGAGGCTTTTTCCCTTTTTGTGTCGACCAAATCACCTCATGTAACTAAGAAAGACTAGACCAATGGATTAAATGAACATCCCTGGATTCGTCCAGTCATATGCCTCACCTTTCATTCATGATCTTCTCATCAATTAATAATGCTATATATTACTCCTTTCGATCTCAGATCTTAAATATGGGACTAAATAGTTAATCAATTCATAGATACTGAAAAATTAGTTAAATTAATTAATTGTAAAATCGTGTCATGGTTTTCTTAAAATACCTAATTAGATTTCAATGATTTGCGTTAGAAATTACATAATATATTTAAAATAAAAATAAACATTTTAACTAACTCTTACATTTAAAATAATAAGTATTAAGTGGTAGTTTTGCATAAACAAGTGGGGATATTAATTAGCATTTTCCAAAATTTCCCTGTTTACATCTACAACTTCCTAAAAAATTTTGAAAAAAATTCATATTTTAAGAGGAAAATTTTTTTAAAAGTTATTTTATTTTCAAACCATCTTATTGTTTTGAAAATGAGAAAGTCAAAAAGAAAAAAAGAGAAGAAGACAAGAGTTGGGAGAAAAAAAATAAGAGTATTTCTTATTTCCTTATAAATAATGATGCCTTATACATGGTCTCTATTTATAGACTTCTAACTATTAAAATTTAATCCTACGATTACAAAAAATGAAGAAGGGTATAATGACATTAAACATGAAGAATCTTCCCAAATCATTCACTGGGGAGATTATGATTTAGGACATTCAAAGATAAAAGAAGCCTAAGAGTTGAGAGTTATAGACATCCACATACAATATTTATAATAATTATGGATTTAATTATCTTCATTTTATGCTATTTATTCTACCTAGGTAGGTAAAAGTATCCGAGGGAGGGAGTATAATTTCGTAATTAAAGTCTATCCTCATTATATTACTACCTTTGGCTCTTAACATGATAGTTAGCTGGAGATTCAATTTGATCTTAAATATACGACCTTAATCTATTTTGTCTTTAATATTTAATAATTTTGCCGTCAAGTAATAATTATAGTGATTGCACATGTTAACAAGTCTCCATCAAGAGTAGTTTCAATGTAAATGACTAATATAGGTATATTAGGAAACATAACATCTATTTACTACAAATAACCAACTTAACTAATTTTCTTAATATATACTAATTAGTTATTTAATTCTTATATTAAAAATAAGAGGTAGCATTATTTAAAGAAAAGCATACACATTTTGACTGATAATATTAAAATTAAGCTATTATTCAAACCCAGAAATGGATTTAGGTCACATGAAGCGATCTCAAACCCAAATGGCTTAGATATTTGTTTTTTGGGGTATGCAGGGAAATAGGAACAAGAAAGAGCATTTAGTAATGCCTTGGACCAACATAGCAAATCCATGTAATGTCACCCCCACAAGTTGCGCTGCGTAGAATCAAAACACATGCCACGTGGGGCCCACCGGTTTAGAGTCACAAATCTCTCACATGTGTTCACATGATGCGTATGGATAGCCCCATCACCGTTTTCACTAATTAATCCCCTGAAAACGACATGTCGTTTTATGCGTGTCTACACTTCATCCTTTTCCTCCTTTAGCACACCTCCTTAGGTCGTCCTCTCTTTTCCATGTCATGGACTTGGATTTCAATGTCAAACAATATGCTCGTTTGTTTTAAATCAAGCAGAGATGTGCAATTTCAAATTTTTCACGTTATTATAAGTTATTAGTTCAATCCATTAAACCTAACCCTAAATTCAGTAGAATACAATGGTTTTAAAAATTGAGGTGTTTGGATTAACTTAGAAGTAATTTTACAATATACTAGGTAAATATATAAAAAAAATTATTTAAACTTATATAAAAATATTTTTTTAAAATGCTTCTGAAAGGATGCCAAACTCCCCAATAACATCGAAAAACAACATCATGTTTTTCAACTTTATAATTTTATTTATTAATTAATTTGGTGTTCATAATTTAAAATTTTGGATTGAGCCTTTGTAATCTACGTATTACATTTTTAATTTATTATTACATTATCAAAATTTTGTAAGTATTATTATCAAATAATGTTGTTGATATCAATGATTATGCACTATCTTAATACTTTGAATATGTACAATATATTAAAAAAACTAGTAAAACTATACCTAATGATGTCAAATTAAATCAAATATATAGAAAAATATTTAAAAAATATGCCAATAAAAAATTATCAATATCAATATAAAGTAAAAAAAGTATACAAAATTACATGGTTCACAAATTATAAATATAAATTCATGAGAGTTTTTTTTAATAATTTTGAGGCATATATTTTTTAAGTAGGCTTTTATGACACTAATTAAGTCACAAAAACTTTCTTAACAAAAAAAATTTTATTTCATAGACAATGACAGTTTGTGGTAAGGTGAATAATGAATGCTACTAATAATGTTTTATTTAAATTAAAACATCTTTTTGTATATATGAAATTGACCAATTACGCACAATGAACATAATCATTTAGAACTTGCCATGATAATGACCCAATTTTAGACAAGACATTTTTTTTTTTTCAAAAACCATGAACAGTCTCTTCCTTTTTCCCTTCCCTCTTTAACAAGTCAATTTTTGAAATAAAAGGAAAAAAAAATGATGACACCCAACTCAAAAAACACACCCCCACTATTTTCAAGCCGAAAAGGACAAAAGCCCCACAACAAATGCCAACTTGTCCGTCAAAATTTAAATTCCCAGGGGCATTTTCGTCATAACACACCAGCCTCCCGGGCCCCCTGTCCTTGTGCGTACAACAGAACAAATCTTTCATGTGTTTATATAGAACGCAGACATTTCTGCAGAAACATATTGAGAATTTGATTAAAGAGGCTGTTTGGTTTGGTGGAGATGGCAGAGTTTGAGCACCCTAATGTGATGACGAATCTCATCACTTTCCTTTCTTCTCTGCTGAAAAGGGTCTCTGAATCAAACGACGCTAACCTTAATCTTCAACCTCAGAGAATCTCTGTCTTCCATGGCTTATCAAGACCCACGATCTCCATTCACAGCTATCTGGAAAGAATCTTCAAGTACGCTAATTGTAGTCCCTCTTGCTTCATTGTCGCTTATGTCTATCTCGATCGTTTCACTCAGAGACAACCTTCTTTACCCATCAATTCCTTCAATGTTCATCGCCTCCTCATTACCAGCGTCATGGTTGCTGCAAAATTCATGGACGACATGTAAGTCTCTGTCTCTGTTTTTAAGTTTCTTATGCTCATCAGAGTTGAATTCTGGGATTTTTGTCTCATTGGGAATATGTGTATTTGGGTATCTCTGTTTTCTTATGCTCAATTACTGTTTAATTCTGGGTTTCGATCTCTTCTGATAAGGATGTGTTTGTGTTTTCTTGTACTTAATCTGTGCTGAATTCCGGGTTTGATGTATCCTTCTCTGGTCAATGTGTTTGTGTGTTTCTAAGTTTTAATTTCTTGTTCTTAGTCAGTGTTGAATTGTGTGTGTGGGTGTGAATTCCGAGGCTTTCTTATGCTCAAATCAATGTTGAATTATGGCTTTTGGTCTCTTGTTTTTTTAACTTAGGAAGTTGGTTTTCAGAGAACAGATCTGTGATTGCTTCAAAGAAACATGTTGGATCTTCTTGGTGGTGCATTACTATTATATTCATTAATGAACACTGGATGGCTTAATTAATTGATTGACTAATTAGGTTTCTTTTATTATATTCATTGTTCCGATTTGTGGTGTGAATTTAAACTGTATTTGAGTTTGGAGATGGGAAGTTCTTCTTCGTTGGAAGAATGGGAATGTATAAAGATGGTTTTGCTTGGGAAGGATACCAAATCCAGGCTGGCTTTTCCATGAGACAGAGACAACCCAACCATGTGACACTAGCCAGCTAACATTTTGCACACATAATCATGAAATGTCCGAGAATTTGCATCCATCCATTTTAGTAATGTATTTTAGTACTATCATAAAGATAAAATGTCAAAAGAAATATCAAAATCCCTTTGATTAACTAATTTAAAAGATTAATAAAACAAATTAGGAAACTAGTTTCAGTGCGCATCACCTTGATGAGCACTCTAAGCTTATCAGATCTGAACGATTTCTATCTGATTTAAATGATCTAGATTTAAAATTTTTAATTAATTGTTTTTAAATAAAAACTATTTTTTGAAAGAATGATAGTTAAGAGATTATCTCTATTTTAGATTCTATATCTATTAAAATAATTATTTTAAATAAATAAGAATAAAAAATAAAATCTGGACTATCTAAATCAAATGTGAATGCTGCAGATCTGATGAATTTAAGGTGCTCATCAAAGTGATGAGTACCAAAACTAGTTCCAATAAATTAGTTATGTGTAAAAAATATATGTTGATTTTTTAAAAATATATCCATTTGATCATTTGTACTAAAAACTATTGTCTTGGTAGAAAATTTTTTTTAAACATGTGCAATAATAGGAGTACTTTTAAGAAATTATAAATTTAAAAAATAAAATAAAGGTAGGTAATATATTTAAAACTAAAGTAACCACCTAATTAACTCTTACATTTGAGAGCAGGGATAGTAACAAATTACTATATTTGTATTAATGATACTAAAATTTTTTTAAAAAATTTTAAGGTCATTTCTTCAAAAATTATAAATAATAACTTACTATTGTTGTGTTTCATAAAAATTATCAGTCATGGTCTAACCACTTGAGACCAGCTCAGTCTATAAAGGTGGGATGGAAATACAGGTAAAATTCTATTATTTAGGAGCATAAATCATCAACTAGTTTGAATTTGCAAGGTCAAGAAATCACTAATTTGGATTTCAGTTGAGTCGATCTTCAAAAAGTAAAAACTCCTGCAGCATGGTTTCTATTTAATATATACGTTGTTCAAACTCAAAATCTTGCTTTAAATGTGCTAAGTAGCCTGCCATATTGTGCTTGCTAATACTGAATTTGTATGACCCTAATATTTTTTCACCATAAATGATACTTTTTTTTTAAAAAAAAAAAGAGGCTACTAATGTTTTATACTAATGTCTTGCATGTGATTTTGCAAATGGGCAGGTACTATAATAATGCATACTATGCAAAAGTGGGGGGGATAAGCACAATGGAGATGAATTTTCTGGAGCTGGATTTCCTATTCGGGATGAGTTTTCACTTAAACGTCACACCAAACACCTTCCGAGCTTACTGTGTACATCTCCACGGAGAAATGTTGCTCATGCAACCTCCTTTGGATTTTCCCAATTCTTCATTAAGCTTACTAGCAATATCATCTTCTTCTTCTTCATCATCCCTAAAGGCCCATTTATTATGTTCCAGTGATGAAGAATCTAATAATTCTCATCATCAAAAGCAGCAACAGCAACAAGAATTAGCTGTTTGATGATATGTATGTTTGTTAATGCATTCCCTCAATGCATACGATGATGCCTTGTAGTATAGCTTGTACATTGGATTGAACTTAATTGTTCTAATTATTATGTTATTACAGATTGGCGAAATATTATATGTGTACACACACACACACACATATTACTCATGGAATATGGATCATCATGAGCACATTGTGCTCAATTTTTATCTAAGCCACCAAAACTAAAATTAAAATTTGGGTTAAAGTGCAAATATACTAATAAAGTCATACCAAATTGTCATCACAAACAAATCTTAGATGCAAAAATACACATATATGCATTAGAGAATCTAATCAAAAAGAGTGAAGGTGTAGATATACTTATGAACTTTTCTCAAAGTGTGTTTGACACTATAAACAAATCTTGAGTGTAAAAATATTTGTAATCATTCCAAAAAAAAATCCTAAAATATTACAGTCATTTAATTAATCAAAGTTGACCTTCTAATTCAAATTTTTGACCAAATAAAATGACATGGATACTACGTTGGCATTTCAATCTCCTTCCTTCAAGTGCAACTCCCTCCCCCTTTCAAATAATCATGTTTTAGTCTCCCTTCAATCCCAACAATGTTGTCTCCTCATTGTTGCACCTTCATTGATGTGAAGACAAGCTGAAACTCTCCGCTAAACTTGCTCCTTCATTTCATTTGTCTAAGTCTCTCTCTCTTTTTCTTTTTTTATGAAGAATAATGCTACTCTCTCTCAGTTACTCTTGTCATACCTGCTTTAGTAACTTATTAATAAAGACTAAAATGGAGCTAAAAGAGTAACATTATTCTTCTTAGAACAAGAGAGGTTGAGAAGGATAAAATGAAGGAGTGAGTGCCATGGAGGGTTTCGACTTCTCTTCTTCTCTTTGAAAGAGACTGAAAAGTGATTGTTTCCAAGGAGGAGGGAGTTACACTTGAAGAGGAAGGCAGAAATGCCAACTTAGCATTTGTGTTATCTTATTTGGTCAAAACTTTGAATTAAATGATCATCTTTAATGGATTAAACAACTGTGGCTTTTAGGGATTTTTGGAATGATTATAGATATTTTTGCACCCAAGATTTGTTTTTAGTGTCAGGTAAATATTAGGCAAAAGTTTATAGATATATTAAACCTTTACTATTTTTTATCAGACTTTCTAAGCCACATCAACGTCCATGTTATCATTTTCGGGCAAACAAATTGTCAACATTATAATGGGTAACGGTCATGACATTTTTGTAACTTTTTGAAATCTTCTTGTATAGTTTTGCATGTATGGTGTTAGGCGTACATTTTGTATAAGCTTATAGGCATATTTACACGTCAACTCCCAAGTAAAAATACCAATGAAATATATCCCATGTGTAGATGCATGGCGTCATAGGGTTTACCTATGCGTCAAAAGCACATATAACCTTTCAAAATGGAGCAAAACTCTCATCTTGGTTAACATCAATTGGTTTTCTCTCTCCTTCTGCAAATGGTTACCATAACTACAATTAACAAAAATGGGAATTTGCTCTATCTTGGAGGTTCATGTATACTTTAATGTATGGGTAAATTTTATGATGTCAGATGTGCAAAAGGGGAATATTTCATGAGTATTTTCACATCTTAACCCTAAGAATAACTACACAGGTTTTTATTGCTTTTTAAAAGAATATGAAACTAACTTGAGAATAAAAGTATAAAATATAAAAGATCGACATTGATTTGCCAATAAGAATTGATCCAATTGGTTAGAAATCGGTTCATAACTCACAAGGTTGTGAGTTTGAATCCCCCTGTCAATGTGACGATCTTGTAACTAATCTATAAATACATCTATAAATACTGCTTGAGCTTAAAGGTATGTCTCAGCTCTAATGAGCTTAAGAACCCAACTCACGTAAACTTTTATTTGGAAAAAAAAAGACACCGATCATATGTCAAAGAAAAGTATAACATTATTTATAAAAAACCTATTATGGCAGATTGGCAACTGAGAGTAAGAAAGTGTGTAGGACCCACACATTGCTAGCTGTTTTGACCCAACAGCTAGGAAGTGACCACCACAACTGTTGCTGCCATTTGGTGTAAAGTTGGCGCCATATTTGTAGCATTTAGTTTTTAGCGGTTTTGTTGCTAGAACCTCTAGAGAATGCAAATCATCGTTGCATTTTCTAGTGGTTATTTAACCGCTAGAAATGTCAACGAATTTCTAGCGGTTTTCATTGAAACTATTAGAAATTTTTTTATTTTTTCTAAGAAGTCCTAACACGTGGTTGCATGCAGGTGGTGGCAGAGGGGCAGCACTACAAATTTCTAGTGGTTTTCAAAAAACTGCTAGAAAATCACAGCCTATATATATATCACTTGCTTCAGTTGCACACTTTTGGTGAATTGTGAAGTGAAACTCTGCCGACTTCTCTTCACAAAGTATATCCAGATCCAGATCCATATAGTATTCCACATTTTCAGGTAAGAATAGAAATTTATTTATAAATTATTTTCATTTTCATTTTTTATTTTATTTATTTCATTATATTTTTTATGTTGAGTTTAATAGACTAGTTTAGTTAGAGTTAATAGAAATTTTTTTATAATAGATTAGTTTAGTTAGATTTAATAGAAATAATTATTTTTTTAATGAGTTGATGGCAAATTTAAATGCACAAATATCTATTTTTAATTATTATTATTTGATATTATTTAGAATTAATAGAAATAATTATTAATTGATATAATCGTTTATTTTTAATAATTGTTAGTTGTAAAATATATTTTTCATCACAATTGCTATTTGCTATTATTAGGATAACTCCTCGACCAAGGAAGGAGCCGATCGATCCTGATAGAGGAGGACCTAGCAAGGATCATGATGCTAGGGTGATGATACTGGTGAGCCATTTCCAAACATTCATGACTATGATCTGAACAAGGAGGACATTTTGGATTTCATAGAGTATGATGGTATCCAGCCTATTGAGGAGGCTAAATTAGTGAAATGAATATATATTTTTTATTTAAATCACTTAATTTTTTGACTATAATTTGTTATTTATTTAATTAATTTTTTTATATAATTTTTTGAAATTATTTAAATGAATATATATTTTTTATTTAAATTACTTAATTGTTTGATTTTAATTTGTTGTTTATGTAATTAATTTTTTATTTATAATTTTTTAAAATTAGTGAAAAGAATATATATATTTTTATTTAAATCATTTAATTTCTTAATTATAATTTTTTATTTATTTGATTAATTTGTTATTTATAATTTTTTAAATTAGTTAAATGGATATATATTTTTTATTTAAATTACTTAATTTTTTTATTATAATTTGCTATTTATGTTATTAATTTTTTATTTATAATTTTTTAAATTAGTGAAATAAATATATATTTTTTATTCAAATCAGTTAATTGTTTGATTATAATTTTTTTATTTATTTAATTAATTTTTTATTTATAATTTTTTAAATTTGTTAAATGAATATATATTTTTTAATTTACTTTTTATTTAAATTAGTGAAATGAATATAATTTTTCATTTATTCAATTACAGAGTAAATTTATATTGGGAGAGGAGTTGAGGGCAGATACTATCAAGACACTTGGGGTAGCATGGAAGAATAAGAGGGTTGACTTGTGATGGCAGAAGAAAGGTGACAGGACGAGGCCCTTGCAGGAGATATTGACAGATATACTTGGTGGAGTCTCAGAGCAAGACTAGTCAAGGTTTGTGTATTTTAGGATGTCGGTTGAGCAAATGGTATGATATTATTGCATTAATTATAAAAAAATTTTATTTTTTGTCCAATTTAACTAATTTAATTTTTATACATTTTGCTTCAAGCTCTTTCCAAAAGAAATACTAGAAACATCAGGTAATAGACAATATGTCATAAGGCTGGATCCAGGAGTTTTGCTATCACCTATGATGAGATTGTAAGTACATAAAAAGAATTTATATGTTGTGTTTATGTATTTAATTTGTAATCACTAATTTTTTTCATTTCATTTACAAAGGAAAAAGATGCTTCAGGAGCGGGGATACGTGCCCACCTATAGCAAGATGTGGCCGAGTCTGTACATGTCTCGAGATAGGTCTCCTGCATTAATGAGGTTGAGGAGATGACGATAAGTAATTAATTAATTAAATATTAATATCACAATATAAATATCCCATACTAATATTTTTATAATTTTGATAGGCACGGATGACTCAGGTTGATACCGAGCTGCGGGAGTCTCAGGGATTTGCCTTGGATCCCACCGCCTCACTTTAGCGGTTCGTGGCTGAGCGCAACACCCCGGTCGAGTTAGCGGGCTCGGTCTTGGATCCACACCTAGTAGGCTGCCCCGCTCAGGCGATGTTGGCCCTTCATACACTGCAAGGAGCTCTCAGTCAGCAGCGGCATCCCATCAGGCAAGCACAGGAGCAAAGCGGCCGAGTTCCTCATCCTCAGATGAGTTGTGAGAGGGGATCAGGTGAGAGGTGGAGGCCAGGATGGAGGAGCGTGATCGTCAATTGCAGTTACAACTTGACCACTTCAAGGCAACTGCTATGGCTATGTGTGATATGATGATTAGTTTCGCTCCAAACATCCCATTTTCTGAGTTCCTTAACATATGCCTGACACCAGCCCAACCCCTGCACGACTAGCAGCTAGCCCAGCCCCTGCACAAACTAGCAGGAGCATCCAACGCCTGATGATCAGGATGATGCTATTTCTGCCCCTCACCCTTGATTTACACCCTTCCCTTGTATTAACTTTTAATAATTTGGATTTTATTATGTTATGCTTTTGTGGATATTTATTTAAATTTTATGTTTATTTATTTAAAACCATAGTTATTTAATTTTATTATTAGCCACTCCTTTCTTTTTTTTTATTTGTTACTTTTTTTTACGCAAATGAAATTTTTAGTGGTTACAAACTGCTACAAAGATTGCAAGAAATTTTGAATCCTAACTGACAATTTCTAGTTGTTACTAACCGCTAGAAATTTCTTATCGTTACACTCTGAAATTCAAATTTCTCTCCTACCTCAATATTTCTAGCGGTTATTAACCTCTAAAAAATTCTTGCCGTTACCAAATTCAAAGTTCTCTCCCATCTCA